CAAAGCCTAGGGAGCCCTTGGGAGAAGCCCCAGGACAGAGGCTTTCTTCTCCAGGCTCCAGAACCAGGAGGTTTGGGGTTCCTCCCAAGCCCCCTGCCTCACTTTCATCCCTCAGTGACCAGTTGATGCTGCATAGAACACTTTATTTGACCAGTTGTTGTGGTAATTGTGGTGGTATCACAATTTAACTAAGTCCTGCTCCAGATACAGAATAAATTGGAGGGTAGGGGAGAGATGCAGGGGAAGGAGAGGACAGACAAAGAGCCAGCTAAATAATCCGAGAAGAGGGGGCAGGGAAGGGAAAGGAAGCTATAGCGAGAAACACACAAGCCACAGAAGGCAGCCTGGCAAGAGTGCCCGAAATGACACACTTTCAGCAGGTAAAACCTGGGCAAGCTTTCTCAAGTCTGCATTTGGTAAGTCAGGCCTGGAGTGTGGAGCTGTGAAATAACCAGCACCAGACAGACAAGCCAGATACCTTTTAAGACAGGGACAAGAAGGCAGGAAGGGCTGGTCAGTTGAGGGACAGAGAGGCAGGAGGAAGGGAGAAGCTGGATTCCTGCTGGCTGTCCCCTGCCCTTGTTCTGGAAGCAAGGCAGGTGGTGATGTATTACAATGTGTGTGTGTGTCTGAGTAATTTATTTATTGATTTTAGAGAGAGGAAGTAGGGGGGAGGGGGGAGAGAAACATCGATTTGTTGTTTGACTTATTTCTGCATTCATCAGTTGATTCTTGTGTGTGCCCTGACCAGGGATTGAACCCACAATCTTGGAGTATTGGGATGATGCTCTAACCAACGGAGCTACCCTGCCGGGCTACAATGTGGTTTTGACCCAAAGTTTCATCAACATTGGCTTTTTCCCTTGGGTTAGTCCAGGCCTAGTGTCAGATACCCCTTATCCAGCTGCTCCTGGACCTCACAATTCGTGCACGTGAGAAACTGGATCCTGGTCTGTGTCAGCATTCTGGATAAACTCAAAGATGAATTTCACCTGGGTCTCGTAGACTTGGACTGAGATTTTCTCGTTGATTCCATGTATGCTGAAGGGTAGGAAAGGAGAGAGCCCACTGCTGAAGCACAAATTATTGGAGAGCACTCCCCACCCCATAACCCCTGAAGCCACTGGCCTCTGACCCTGGGGTAGGAAGTGGGCAAGGTGGGAGAGGCCATTTGTAAGAAGTGAGGTTTCCGATGACATACGGGTCCTCTCCCCAGGATCTGAATCCGTGCCAAAGAGCAGTAGGGGTACATAATAGTACACCCCTGGGGAGTTCAGAGTCATCTCCTGCTCTGGAATTGCTCGAGAACTTCTCTGAAATGATCTTTCCCATTCCCTTAGGCCAGGGCTAGACTTATCTCGAAGCCAGCACTGCTACCGCCCCCGCCTCCCACATTACTAGGGGCACAAGAGGTTAGGGAGGGCAACTCATGGGCTTCTTTACTTTCCCTGGAACTTTACTGTCAGGCCTCATGCCCACAGCCTGCTATACAACATAAAAAACACAAGGCACAACCAAACCACACATGTAACCTCAAAGATGAAAGGGAACAGAGTAACTACCCGCTCCTTCATTAAAAACATAACAAAAAACAAACAGCCCAGAACAAACCCAGGAGAGCTGTCCTTAAGCTCATATTCAAGTATTTTCATTCTGTTGGCAACTGACCTACTGTGGGGAAATCGGGTCCAGATATGACAAGGAGCAGAGAGGCAAACAGAAACCATACTCCCACGCCCCAAATTTAAAATTGGCTGAAGAACCCACAAAATAGTAATTCACACACAGCAGTTAAAATGGGTGATCATGTCTTAGGTTCTTCTAGTGTGTTTCCTTCTGAGAATTCAAAGCAGGTGCCCATCTCTGACCTCTCGTGTGTCTGCATTTCACTGAGTGGTAATCAAGAACTCTGGAGTCTCCCCTTTTTGGGGGAGAAAATGAGGTTCAGAGGGTCAGTACTCTCCCCAAGGGAGGAAGAGCTGGAATTAACACTCAAGGGTCCTAATTCCACCAGGTTCTATTCAATCATCGTTTTTATCTCCATCCCTGAAAAGTAGTGACCAATTCCCACACACTCTGGCAATCAGGAAAGCTGGCCAGTTGGGTTCTACAATGTCTCCATTTTAGTTTGTGAAAACCCTGGCCTTCTCCCATTCTGTGGACTTTCAGGAGAAAGGGGTGGGAAAGGGACAGGTCAGTTGTATCAAACCTGTTCTCCTCACTCACCTATGGAATTCCTGAGGCTGCAGGTAGATGGGGCTGAACCGATAGATGCTATTGGTGAGGTTTGTATAGTGGCGGCTGTCTGTCTGACCAATACAAATACCTAGAAGGGAAAGAGCAAGAGGAAGGGGGTTTTCTGTGAGCAACCAAGCCAGGGAAGAGGCTGGAGGTGGGCTAGCTGGAAAACTAGGACTCCTAAGTCACCGCACAGCAAAACCTGGGCCCTCCTGGGAGCCTGCAGCTATAAGTATTTGTCATTTAGCCTACCCATGTTCAAAATCTTGCTGAAACACCATTTCAGCCAGAAACATGGAAGCTCCTCCCTAGGGCATTAGTGAGATATCCCTTGAATGATCCAAAGCTACGTGTCCTCTCTCCACGATGACCATAGAGGCTAATACCTTTATTTCATACCCACAGTCAGGCTGTTTTAGAAATCTACAGGGCTGGGAAGAAATAGGTTTATAATTGTTTGTATGGAAAAATATATAATACAAGAATAAACTATTTCATGCACTCACAATTATAAACCTTTTGCCCACCCCTGTAGGTATCACTTCTTTATTGCCTTGGCTTTCTTCTGTATCACCTTAGATAAAAAAGGAAACACCTCTGGGGAACTCTACTGCTATAAAATGCAATCCTCTTAAAGTGGAACATAACTTCCTATTATTTGTATCCTCTGTCTTCTGAGAGTCAAACCGCAGGTTTGGGAAGTCCCAGGATTTTCTCCAGTGTCCTACTTTCCTGAAGCAGCTCAACCAATTCCCCAGCTGGGGCTGGGACTTGTCCTGATAGGAGTGTTCTTTGGGAAAAGACCCCTGGAGCATCAGTTGAAGTGTGATGGGATGACGTGAGATGGTAACTTGTCTTTTGTTCTGTTTTCCACTCTTGGTTGCAGATGGGTAGCTAGGCGCTTCACAAACCTTGCTTTGGGGATTTCTGCCAGTTGATTGTTGCCTATTTTTTTTCTGTAAAAGCTTAACTTTGTCACTGGGATTATAGCAGATACCCCAGAAGGGAGAGGGTGGTAGGGACCCTTTGAGGGCCAAGAGAGGAGAATATGCAATGGTGAGGGCCAGGGTCCCTGGATGGTGGGGACCCAGGCCGTGCTGTGTGGCAGGAGTCTGAGGAGATGGCTGATTAGTATCTTCAGGGAGGTGGTATCTCAGATCTAGAGTCAAAGATCTCACTCTCCACACAGGCCAGGGAATGAATCAGAGGAAACTTTCAACCTGAAGTGACTGTGTGGCTAGGACAATGGATGTCTCACAGATAAACACAAGGACCGATGACTGGCCCAGGGACTCCAATGCTGTGCTGCTGCTACATAAAACAGTGAGGGCCTGATTCAAGGTGGAAGTGGTGGGGTCCTTGGAGGCCTCGTTAATGTCTAAGGTTGAATTTCTTGAGGAGTGGGGCTTACAGTCAGACTTAAGTTGATTAAAAAAACAAGGCTGCTCTTTGTTCGTGCCTGAGTTAGTGGATATAGAATTTCACAGTAAGCTCTTTAAGGACGCATGTTTAGCAGAGGAGCAGGTCCTAAGTACGAGCTTAGACAGTGTTTGAGGGAAACTATGATTAAACCTGGATAAAAAGAAACTGGACCCAGTTCTTAACATTAGAGCACTTCCTCCTCACACCATAGGCCAGAGATTCTCAAACTGTGGTCAGCCGTTATCTGGTGTTAGAATCCCCTGGGGGATCTGCTTAAAATACAGATTCCAGGGTCCTCTCCAGAGCTGGTTAACCCAAACCTCTGGGAATAGGCCCAGGTAATCCGCATTTTAATCAATTCCCTAGAGGGATCATCTTCCATTCATAAATTCAAGAGTCACTGTCGACAGTGGGCTGAGGACTGGGGAAGGTGTAGAGGGGCTGTTGCTGGAGAGAATGGTGTAAGTGCAAATAGTGTGGGCTGGGAGGTGTTGCCAGGCTTCTGATTTTCAGCTCCACTGCTGAGCTGTACCCTAGAATGGATCAGAATCACACTAGGGGAAACTTGGCTCCCTCCATGACTCTTCCAGGAGAGGGGGAGTCTGGGCCCGTCCTCTCCTCCATTCACTCTGGTCTAGGTCAAGCAAGAACCCAGGCTTGACCTGACCTAATTTATTGTTTCTGCTCCTTTCCTGTTTGTTTTCTCACTTCCACGCCAGGGAAGGGGGTGGTGGGATACAGTTCCAGTCACATCAGGAGGGGAAGCAGCCAGCTGTTTTTAGGCTCAACAGCTGGGGTGGGGGTGGGGAAGTGGACATTGCATAGAAAACAGTTCCAGCCCCCACCCCCCTCCAGCCACAGCTGAAGTCATTACCTGGGACAACAACTCTGACCTCCGGGAAGACCGACTGCACCGTCTGGCGGATCAGCTGGTAGCCCAGGGCCTGGTCATCAGAGGGGCTCACAGGCATGGGCTCAGTGGCATCCAACACATGGAACTGGACCCGGTCATCAGCCACAATGTCCTTGGCTAGTTTAAGGACCTTCAGGGAGGACACAAAGGGAGTCTGATTTCTTACTAATCTGCTATCCAAGAACTATAGGAATTTAAAGTCCTGATTTCTCTTGAGCATGGCAGAGCCCTGGAGTTACAGAGGAGGCTCATTTTAGTGCTGGGACCTAAGTTCAGCCAACTGGCTACAGGAGATAAAAAGAGCTGGGTCTTCCTGGAAAGCAATCTACAGCATAGTTGATTTAGGCTACATGTTTGGGAGACTTGCCTCACAGCCAGGGGGCGGGTAGGGAACTGGAAAATCGGGAAGTGATGGGTCTTTCCCTTGGGCTGTGAGCCGTGGGCCGAGTAAGATTGTAGGAGTCAGCAGACTGCAAATCTCAACCATCTCGAGAATAGACATGATGACTTCACTTCCACCTGGGATAGTCTCAGGTGAGGAACAGGTCACACACTTGCTTTCCCCTCTCTGGGCATCCCTGCTTCCTGTTTGTGACCAACTGCACTGGAACCAGGAAGATGAGTTCAGCACACAAATAGCCAGGAGTTGGGGGACTGGCGTTACAAAGTTCTCTCTCTGCCTCCTTTCCTCAGGAAGGAACCCGAGGAAGCTCCTAGAAAATTCAGTCTGAAATGACTAGAGATGAATCCAGGAAAAGTTTTGGCAGGATGTAGATCAGACCCTGAGGATCAGGTCACATGGAGCCATGTGGGAATGGACCAGGCGGCTGGGTTAGGGTGGCCCTCCAAACCCACCCAGCCATGCAAGAAAAGCCCCAGCACTAGTCGTAACCCCTCTGACCAGCAGTTGCTTTAGAACTCCCTCTGTCCTAGATTGGGTAGAGTCTCATAGTTGGGGATCACCTAAATGGGGCATTATCTCAAGAGTGCCCCTTTTAGGTCAGTGTTCCCTAGAAGCATGCTAGGAGCCTGGAAAGGAAATGAAGTTTCCTACTTGTGGCTTAGAACCCACTGTTTGAACCAAACCAATATCCTGCTTTTGGATTGGGGGGGGGGAGAGTGGTCTATTCAGAGCTTATTTTACTCTGGCACTTGTATCCCAAACACTATTAATACAGAAATATATAGTCTTGATTGACATATTCTTGACGCACTGGGAAGTTCCTGAAGTCATTCCCTTTGAGGTGGGTTGGGACTGTGCCTGCTGCTCCCCTGGCCCAAATTACGTAGATTCCTGTTCCCAGAAATTGAAAAGGGTAGCCAGATTGGACTCCCGTCTGAGAGGCCACAAGAGCTCAGTCTCCTCACTAGCTGTTGGGCCAGGGGCTCAAGGCAAGTCCTGTGTCTCTCTCATTTCTAACTCGTAGTACTAAGAACATTAAAGGCATGCAAGGAATGTTGAACACATGATATTTAAAAGATGTGGACCAATAAAAATAATACCGGGAGTTGTCTCATTAAGTGGCTTATCCAGGGTTAAACAGTCAGTACCGCTGGGCTGGGTGTCGGAACCCAGTCTCTCTGATGTAAAAAAACAATGTTTAATTGCTTCTGAGTACACACAGGTTGAAGTGGTGAGGAGTAGAGCTAGCAAGAGGGTAGTGCTCATTTAAAATGAATTCCTTAGTGGTATGAATTTTGAGCCAGAATTTGAAGGAAGGATATGAAACTGCTGGAGAACAGGCAAAAAGCAGTCTGAACATGGAAAGGGGCATGCACAAAAACTGAGGAAGACACCAAACTTTGTGCCTCAGCCAGCCACTTATTGCTGTGTTACCCTGGGTAAGCTCCTTAACCTCTCTGTGCTTCAGCTTGCTCGCCTATTAACATGTGGATAGCAATAGCACCTACCTGGTGAGTGGTTGTGACCATTACTGAAATTAACATATGTAATGTTCTTAGGCCAGTGCCTGGCACATAGTAAAGACCCAGTAAGTGTTAGCCACTATTTGCCTGTTTAGAAAAGAGGGACTGCCCGGCCGGGCGTGGCTCAGCGGTTGAGCGTCGACCTAGGATCCAGGCGATCAGGGTTCGATTCCCGGTCAGGGCACATGCCCAGGTTGTGGGCTTGATCAATGACTCTCTCATCATTGATGTTTCTGTCTCTCTCTCCCTTTCCATTCCTCTCTCTGAACTCAATAAAGATATATTAAAAAAAAGAAAAAAAGAAAAGAGGGACTGTCCTGGGCAATAATGAGAGGCACAAGGATGGGACTATGAGGAGGGGCTCATCAATGGTGAAAGGGACCCCCAAGTTACTTTAGGGCACATTATCCCCATCTCTAAGCTCCTCTAGTCCTTATAGCACCTTCCCACAATAGTATGTTCTTCTCTGTTATATGTGTAGATAGATTTTCCTCTCAAGTGGATGGTAAATTTGTTGAAAGCAAGGACAACAAATACTTCATTACAACATGGGCAGGTTGTCGCCCAGCCTGTGCGTGAGTACTTCCAGTGGCAGGAAGCTCACCACCGCGTGTTCTACTCATTTCAGTTATGAATGTCTTTCCTACAATGAACTGAGATACCGAGAGACAGCTTCCTGCAGCATCTAAGCCCAATCTTTTTTTTGGGGTATTGCATATACTTCACAGGATATAACCCAGTACTGGGCACATCATGAACACCCAGCAGAATTTCACCTCTGTGGAAATTAGAGGCCTGTGCTCTCGCTGCCTGAATGCTATCCCCCAGGCCTGTGCTCCTTCTCAGGTTTCAGTGTAAATGCCTCTGCAGAGGGGACTGACCACTGTATTTAAAGCTGCTCACTGCTCCATCCCACCCCAAAATCACTGAGACACATCATCCGTGATTCTCCGTGACACTTCTCTCTTACTCGCTGGTGGCCGTCTTCCCCACTAGGCCACAAGCACCACTGGAATGGGAATCTTGTCACCACTTTCCCAAGTGCTTATATGCCTAGCCCACAGGAGCCACTCAGAAACACTTGGGGAACCGTGAGGGGAAGGAAGGAGTGTTCTGTATTACCCTCTAGGGGAGCGGCCATCCGGCCTCTCAGGAGCTCATTACCACCCAAGGCTCCAGACTCCCAAGCTCTCCTTCAGGTGGGGGCTCCCTGAAGCATCTTCCAGTGGCCTTCTTCCTACCCCTTGAGGCCCATTCAGAACAAACCTTCCTTTCCATGTGGTGGCCTATTGGAGTTCTGAAGACTATGGAGACCTATCTACATCCACATGGGAGAGACCAGTTAAAGATGGAGGAAGGAGACTCTGGGAGCTGTTTGTGTTTCCACAGGACCAGCCCAGGGCTCTGTCCCCATGGCCCTCAGACCAGCAGGGAGTGTCCCTGATGCATGGAACTGGGGCACTAGGGAGTGGAGTGACGAAGGCAAAGGTGCTGTGTGCTTTCGGGATGACGGAGCCTTTCCATTCCTCACTGGGCAGGTGGGCAGGATGGGCCGAGAGATTCCAGGGCTTTCATCAGATACACCGGGAAGGAAGGCCAATGTGGCAGGGGACAAGCGAGGAGGGAAGGGTGCCAGAGCCTGGGGAGATGAAAGCCCCAGCTGGTGGAAACAGCACTTGAAAAGGGCATGGAGTGGTAATGAGGCTGGAAAAAAACTGGTGGAAAGAAGCTCAATGAGGGGAATTCAGTGACTTCCTGGCCCCGGGAGCCCCCAGAGAGAAGACAAAGGTTGGCACTTGATGAAAAGCAGGAGAGCTTGGGGATCACATGGGTCCCAACTCCCCCGGAATGCCGGATGACTCTGGGCAGGTTGTTAACCTGTCCCCGTGCCCCTTCCGCAAAGAGGGGGATGCCTCCCACCCTGTGCGACAGAACAAAAGCTTTGTGTGGGGAAGAACTTAGGAGAAAGGACCACAGACACCTAAGTGGGGCTGACCCTTGATGATCTGTGCCACACACCCCGGAAACACCACCCACCCCTAACTCAGCTTAACTCTGAACACATTATGTACCCCATAGCGGTTCAGCTGCCTCTTTCGATTGTTTTTTAAAGGGTCAAATTTATCTCTTGCATTCTCAACCTGATGTGTAATAAGCTAGATTTTCCTGTAGATGTCAAACATTCTGTGTAATTTCTACTCACCCTTCAGCTTCCAGCTCAAATGTCACTTCCTCAGGGAAGCCTTGTGTGTCCCCACACAAGGTCTGCTTCCTCAGTATATTCTCTAATAGCACCTGGTCCCTTTTCGTCATAACACTCATCACAAGTTGCCATTATTCATTCATTGTTACAGTTTTTAAGTTGATGTTTGTAGCAGACCATTGCAAGGCTCTGTCCTCAACTCTCTTCCCTCCTAACTACACATCCTTCCCGTGCGATTTTACTGACGCTAGAGGTTTCCATTATGTGAACAGCACTCTAGCCTGTATCTCCAGTTCATCCTCGCTCCAGACCTGAGGCATTTATAATCACCTACTAATATATTATGAGCTTCTCAACCTTCTGAACCAGTATATTTCTCTGCAAAGTTGCTCCTCTCGAATTCCCAATTTTTGTTAAAGGGATCAGCGCCTGGCCAACTACCCAGGTGAAAAAATCTTGGAGCCATCCCACCTTTCTCTCACCGCACATCTGTCTCTCCCACACCTCTTGTGGGTACCCTCTTCGCCACCCCGTGACCATGGCCTCAGTTCAGACCTTCATCCCCTCTGCCTGACAGGTCACCACAGCTCCCTGTCTCTTCCTACTCCAGTATTTCCTCTGCATTGCTGCCATCGTTAGTTCCCTAAAAGCAAATCTGAGATCACTGCCTTGTTTGAAGACCTCTGACAGTTCCCTTCTGTACACAGATGAGAACCCAGACTCGTCCGCATGACATACAAGGCCTTGATCTCCAAACTACACCTCCATTTCCGTCTCTCATCACTTTTCCCCAATTTATCCTACTCTTCAGCTTTATGTGACTTTAGCCTTACTTCTAGCAAAGTCCTGTTTGTTCTTTAAGCCCCAGCTCAAATTTCCAGGGGTCAGAAGAGGCTTTCCTGACCCTCACAGGGTAGCATCAGTTTCCTTCTTTGAATTGGTCCTATTTTCATTTGTTCATCCCAAACTGTTATAATCACAGTATAGTGTGGTAGCTTAAAGCACAGAGCATAGAGTCTGGAACTAGGCTGCTAGATGGGTGATCTTGGGCATGTTACTTACCTGTGCCTCAGTTTCCCCATTAAATGAGGATAATATAGTTCCTACCTTATAGGGTGGTTGTAGGGATTAAATGAGTTGTGTGTATATTTTAGGACAGGACCACATGCATAGCAAGCCCACTATGTTTGCTACTATTATTACTATTTATCAGTATTCATTGCCCACCCCCACACTTCAAGTTCCTCTAAACCAGAGATCTCCTATCCTAGCCAAGTACCTTATTTGGTACTTGGGGGTCTTTGAAAACTGTTGGTTTAACACTTGAGAGACTGAGCCAGCCCTGGGTTGCAGCTAAACCCAGGTCTTGAGGGCCAAACTTCCTGATGCTCAACCAGTCGTCAGGAATATATAGTACGTACCTCCTGAGTTGTCTGTGTAGGGTGAATCCTGAAGTTGACTGTGGCCTGGGCCAAAGGGGGGATGACATTTACCTAGAGGGAGAAACACACACCCTGGCCTGAGCCAATCTCAGATCCCCACACCTGACCCCTGCCTAGGAAACGCCAACTACCACCGTTAGGGGGAGAGGGCGTTGATTTGATTTAAAGGTCTGGGGTTTAATTATTTTTGGTAATTTACCTTTATTGTTGACAGTATTATAGATGCCTCCCATTTTTTCCCTTTTGCCCCCCTTCACCTAGCCCCCTGTACCTCTGTTTCTTAACTGGCAATTGGGGCGATAGTACTCATAGAGCTGTTAGGAAGATCAAATGGAGTAACAAATGTTAAAGTATTCTGGACAGATAAAAACACCACTCATATGCAAGGACACAGTACTATTATTTCAGTGGACACCCCAGGCAGCTGGTGAAGACAGCTCTGTTCTGGCTGACATAAGCTAGGAATTATTTCTGAGGTCCCATTCACTTCTACTCAACCTGGGCTCCAGATGACCAGAGCTCCACAAGGCTACATTGTATTCTAGGTGAATTGTGCTACTTGAGGTTGTTTTGGTGGTGCTTATAATAATAGGAATGGTCTAACTCCTTTCACGATTTCAGAAAGGCCTACACCTATGCTAACTAGTGTGGCTTGGCTTCTTTTAAACAGAGATGCCCCTGAGTGGCCAATCCAATTGGGAGTAGACTAATTTGCTGAAAAGTAGCTCTTAGAATAAAAATTTATCAAAGTATTGTTCACTTGAAACTTATTTCTATAAAAGAATTTGTTTGCTAAGGCCACCCAATATTTAGTGTATTTTAGGAATGACAATGTGTGTATTTTAAGTGCTGTATATATCACAAATGTTATAGATTTTATAAATCGCAGTTGAGTTTCTCTTTTCAACTCATGGTACTACTAGGGGAAAATACATTAATCACTCATTAAATTTGTTAGGTGGATATATCTTTCAAAATATGAGGAAGAGTAATAAGATTTTTGATAATAGATAGGTTAGAAACCTTTAGTCTACATGACAAAATGGTAGGTAAATATATAACATGTTGAATGAGTATTGGTCACAAGAATTAACTCCAAAATAAACCCTCTTCACAGCAGCATAATGGTTGTCTTTTGTACAACTCAAAGAACCTGAGGAGATCACGGACACCTCCTGAAATACTAATATACAAAATCTGACCAGCGATTTCAGAGAGTTTGGAGGCCTCAGCTAGCACTCTTGCTCTTGAGGCTTAGCCAACTGATGACACAGGGTGGTTCGGCACTGGGCCTTCCTATTACTCCAGTTGTAACCAGATAAGGAAGGGGGGCCCGGAGACAAAGCCAAGGAATGGAGGGGTGGGTGGGGAGCAAGGAAAAGGGAGGAACCAGAAGATGTTACCTTTACCCCTGCCTCGAACATGGTGACTGCCGTGGTGGTCCTGACCAGCGTCCTGGCTATATCATCTCTCTCCATTAATCTAAAGCAAAAAGACTAAGATCAGATGTTGTCCAATGGGGAGAAAAATGGGTTGGAGGACCACCCACTCTGCTGAACCTTGGAAGAGCTTTCAGACCAGGAGGAACATCCTATATTTGAATTACATATAGTGTCTGGTGGCTGAGGGACAATTACTAGTCAGGTCCAGTAGAGCCACGGAGAGGGGACTAGGTGGTGGGTAGATATGGGGGGTGGAACGTGAGGGAAGGAAAGATAAAACCTTACCTGTTTACAAGGGGTCCAAACAGCCACAGGTTGTTGAAGACTATATTGATAGGGAAGGAAAACTGAAAGAAAGAACCAGGTCAGCAGGGTTTCAGAGGGGTCAGCATGACAAGGTCACTGTACCTGAGGCCTGGGTCTCTTCCTACTTTAGATCTGCCCTGAGGGCCCTCAGCAGTAGCCTCAAGGATGAGTGGGAACCAGCTCCCAAGGGTGCCTGGGTGTGTTAGGTCTTAGGACCTCAGATAAGCACTAAGAGCCTCAAGAACAAGCCAGGTCCTCGCGTCTTGGCTCAGCCTCTGGCTGAGAATTAGGGAGAACGGGCAGAACAATGGGAAGCAGTAGGGCCAGTGCTAAGGGGGGCAGAGTCCTCCCACACCTCACTAGCCAGTTGCTGCAATGTCATCTTCAATGGCCCACTTCCATACATGTTCGGTATTGGTATCTGCTCCAGTCTGGAAGAGAAAAGGAGTTCTCGAGACTTACCCAACCCCAGTCAAAGGTCAACAGTCTGAGGTGGAGACGGAGTGGGACAGGGGGTTTTAACAGGCCTGGCCGGGGGGTCTTCTATTCACCTCCACCAACTAAGCAAAGATGTCAGAGAACAAGCGAGAACACCTCCTCTCTACCAGCAGGAGCTGCCTCTGTCTACCGAGTCTGAGTTAGGGCACCCCATCACTTACCACACTGTGGCAGAATTGTCAGTCTCCTCCACTAACTGTGGGTTACTTGAGGAAAAACTGTTTTTCCCACAACTGTATGTCCACTACTAGCCTAAACATGGTAGGTAGTCGGTTGAATATTTAATTCAATAAATACAGTTCTTCTCCCCAGTTTGCTAACAAAACAAAACAAAACAAAACCACACCACACCCACACAGAGGTGAACGCTGCTACAGATCCTCCTGTCCTCACCCACAGCCAGCAGCCTTTATTTATCTCTGTCCTCTTACCAGGGCAGGTGGAGAAATTAGACAGTGCACGTCACTGCCAGCTTGAGTTTCTAACTTCTGGTCTGGGCTTTGGACTATTCCAGCTACTTGACCTTGCTTTTGTTTGCTAGCCTTTGTTTGCCATATGGGCAGATCCCCTTCTGACTTCTCTTGCCTGGGTACTGGTGGCTCTGCCCTCCCTGCAGCCCTCGCCATGGCTTCTCAGCCCCACTTCGGGGCAGGAAACTTAGCTTCCTCAAACTCAAAGTGGGAAAGTGCCAGGTATTCTATCCTGAGCCTGGCAAGGGAGCAGGGCCAGGGGTTGCTCACCGGCTGACAGCAGCTGCAAGGATGCCAATGGTCGTCTCCTTCGGAGGAGCTGAAGAGTGGCCAGGAGTCATGTTTACTTGTAGCATGAGGTTAAGTGAACCCTTCTCTGAGACTGAAACCCTGCAGGAGAGGATCAGAGAGGGCCCTCCTAACTTTCTCCCACCTTGAATTATCCCATAGGCCCACAGGCTGATCTGCACAGTGGTCTGGTGGGCTAGGAGGTCAGCTTCATGCTACTTAATATAGAGTTATTTCAGCATGGCTTGCAGTGACCAGGCAGGGGTCATCTCAGAGGGTGAGAAGGCCTTCAGAGGTGGGGGTGGGTTGCTTTACTCACATGGCAAAGGGTTTCTTAAGGCTGGGAATGAAACCATCCAAGATGAAGCCACCCTCATCCACAATGAAGGCGAGCTGGACACCCCTTGCCTGTAGCAGGGCTGCGATCTTTTGAGCTCCGTTTGCTCCTGATAGCTGCAGATATTGAACCCAGAGCCACAGTCTTTCTCAGCCAGACCTCCACAGAGAGCTAATGGAGACCCACTTAGCTTAGGTAGGGGCTCCAGTATCTCTCTGCCCAATCTCCTTCCTTGGAGGAAAGGAGTGGGGGCAGGACTCTAGACAATATTGCCTCACAGATTCCTGGAATGTCAGAGCTGGAAGGGCCAAGCAACCCCATTTCAAAAAAAAAGGACTGGGACCCAGAGAATGAAGCAATTCACTAAGGGTCAAAGCAAGCAGCACCACTGGAAATAAAACATATTCAATGATCTCCCTGTGATTTCTCTTTCCATCAAACCACTGTTTCTCAAGGATTAGTTGACAAACCACCTGCCTGCTTCAGATATAACCAGGGAGTTAGTAAAAAATTCAGATCTATGCATATTATTAAGTGAAAGAAACCAACCTGAAAAGGCTAAACACTGTATGATTCCAACTATCTGACATTCTGGAAAAGGCAAAACTATGGAGAAGTAAGAAAATCAGTGGTATGCAGACTGGTGCAGCCACTATGGAAAACAGTGTGGAGTTTCCTCAAAAAATTAAAAATTGATCTGCCATTTAACCCAGTGATCCCACTTCTAGGAATATATCCTAAGAAGTCTGAAACACCAATCAGAAAGAACGTATGCACCCCTATGTTCATAGCAGCGCAATTTACAATGGCTAAGATCTGGAAACAGCCCAAGTGCCCATCAGTAGATGAGTGGATAAAACAGCTGTGGCACATTTACACTATGGAATACTATGCAGCTATTAAAAAAAAAGGCTCTATTATTACCTTTTGGTATGGAGGGACCTGGAGAGTATTATGCTAAGTGAAATAAGCGAGGCAGAAAAAGACAAGTATAACATCATCTCACTTACATGTAGAATCTAAAGAACAAAATAAACTGACAAATAAAATAGAACCAGTGGCATGGACGCATGGAACAGACTGACGAATCTCAGAGGGAAGGGGGAAGGGGGGCTGAAAAAGATTAATTGAGGAACTTATATGCATATGTGCACAGCCCAGGGACATGAGAGAATAGGGCGGTGAAGGCCTGGGGCGGGGCGGGAAGCAGGTGGAGCAGGGCAATGGAGGGAAAAAGGGGACCTCTGTAATACTCTGAACAATAAAGAAAAAAAAAAGATCAGTGGTTGCCATGGGTTAAAGGAGGGTGAGAGGGATGAACAGGCAGGGCACAGAGGGTTTCAAGGGCAGCGGAAATACTCTGTATGATACAGTAATGATGGACACATGTCATTGAACATTTGTCCAAACCCATGGAATATATAACAGCAAGAGTGAACCCTAATGTAAGCTATGAGCTCTGGGGGATTGTTATGTGTCAATGTAGGTTCAACTGTAACAAATGTACCACTTTGATGGGGGATGGCGATACAATAATGGGGGAGCCTATGAATGTGTGGGGGTAGGGAGTATATGGAAAATCTCTTTATATTCTCAATTTTGCTGTGAACCCAAAACTGCTCTAAAGAAAAAAACGTCTTTTAAAAACAAATTCAGATCTATGACGCAGGGCCCAGGAATAGATTATAAGGCATTTTGGTTAAGGGCCTTAGATAGTCCTGGCACATAGATACACAAAGAAGTTGGCAAACCACCACACCATATCTTGAACACACTACAGGTGGGGAGCAAACTGTACTGGGTGGAGGCACCCCCACTCCCAGCCAATAGGGGTCCCAGAGATAGGCTTAGGATGAAGAGGCTCTACCTCCTCATCATGGCCCAGAGCAATGAAGAAAGATCTTCGGGGGATGTAATTTCTGATCAGCAGGAGCTCCAAGGCCTGTAGGATCGCCTGGGGAACAGAAGCATAACAGAAGAGGAAAAGGGTTATTACCTAGCGGGAGTACCAGGCATGAGAGACATTCAGCTATCTGCATCAGGGCTGGTGTGACTAGGGTTGGCTAGACTTTCTTTAAAGATAACAAATTCAAATTGTCCTGGAGAATGGCATAAAGGAAAGCAGAGCTCTGCATAAAACCTTTACCACCTGGACAAAAGTATAAATTTATCAATGTCAGAGTTGAAAAGGTCCCTGGGGATCATCTACTCTAAACCCTATTTCATGGTTGAGAAATCAAGGCCCAGAAAAGACTGATGACTGGAACCCAGGTCTCTTGGAGCCAAGGTCCTTTCTCCCATAATAACCTCCTGCCTCCCAGGGGTCAGCCAAGCATCCCCCTTCCTAGGTTGATCTTTAGGGCCCCAAGGCAGAGGGAGCATAGCATTTCAGACCATCACAGAGTTCTTGTTGTCTAGTGTGCCTCGGCCATGGATGAAGCCATCACGTTCCAACCCAGAGAACGGGGGCACCTCCCAGCCTTGGACAGGGGCAGGCACCACATCAATGTGAGCCAGCAGCATGTAGGGCTGCAAGCTTGGGTCCGAGCCTTGAACAGTGAACAAGTGGCTGTATTCTCCCACGACTTCATGCTGGATAAAGCTTCTTTGGAACACAGTAGGAAAGACTAGAAGCAAAGGGGTAAAAAGCAGGGAGAGAAAGCCAGATTTAAGTTCCCTTTAGTTTCCCCACCATTTGGTGCCCCTGCCCTTAAAAAAAAAAGGGGGGGGGCCTTCTTTAGGAAGCCTTCTGGGACAAAGCCAATCTGATTTCTGATTTGCCCACACAACCTCTGGAATTCGTCTTTCCCATATTTTAATGTGCTATTGCTGTGTAATGACATGCATGTCAAGACTCCATCATTCTGACAGTCAACAGCTCAAGACTGGCTTGGTCTGGCCTATATAACATGTTGTCATGTTATAGGACTATACAAACTAGGGATGTGTTAAATTTAGAATATAAGAGGCCCCAGGATCCAAATTACTTGGAACCAAACAGGATCCTTATATATAAAAGAAATCACAAATATTTTCTTTTAAGGTTGTGGGCTTGATCCCTAGTCAGGGGCATGCAGGAGGCAGCCAATTAATGATGATTCTCTTATCATTGATGCTTCTCTCTCTCTCTTTCCCTTCCTCTCTCTGAAATCAATAGATATATTAAAAAAAAAAACAACCAAAAAAACTCATTACTTCACACCAAATAGTTAAAAAAAGAAAGAAATATTTTCTTTTAAAAAGCAATACTCCTACTGTTTGTGTAATATGGACATAAAAGATTGTTCTGTCCAGCACAAGGCCGCACTTCTGCATCCAAGTGTGAATGTTCCCAGGGTCAGTTACTCAGGTTACAGATAAGTCTTTACACAGGTGGCTTTAGATACATGGGAGAAAAAACTTTGCTCTCCCACTAGACTTTGTTGGAAGAATCCACAAATACAATGTGGATACCTGAAAACAAAAGCCCAAAGGGAATGTTTTTGTCAGCCAGCCTGTCTAATTTACTGTCACTGTACATTTATTTCTGTATTTTTGTCTCCTATTTAGTGAAGACTTCCAGCCTGGCCTCAGCCTGGCTGCTGGGGATTGATCCCAGAGCCACCTGTCCCAGAGTGCTAGAGAGGGGCCTACTTGCTGCCTCTAGGCCAGCTTCTCCCACACATGACAACTTTGGAGGGGCTGCTTTTTATTTGATTTAGGAAGGTGGCCCTGCTACTCTCCATGAGCTTTTCATATGGGGTGCGGGAGGTTCCAAATCTCCTTTTCCCTCTTGACCTATCCTCTAGCTCATGGGTGGTGGGGGTGAGGAGAGAGGACCAATGTGATCGCTCAGGGGTGCTTACTGCCCAAAAGCTCAGAAATGTGTTAGTAATAAATCTGGAGTAGGGCCTGTCTAGGTGGAGTGTGTGTGTGTGTGTGTGTGTGTGTGTGTGTGTGTAGGTGTTTGTACGGAGGTGGTGGAGGGAGAAGCATGGGGCACAGATCTGGAAACTTGCATAGGAAGAAGGAATTCCTAGTGTTACCTTCTGATTTATTATCACATATTAAGGGCAAGGATGGGAAGAGTTTAAACTCTAACCCAACAGCTATGTACATTAGTTCTTCAAAGGACAAATCTATAGTCTCTTCTCTGTCTTCACTCTAACTCCTGGATTCTCCTTTCTATGCCTCTCTACTATGCACAAACTCAAAAGAGACCCATGGGAATTAGATTGTCCTTTGGTCAGTCACAAAGTAAACCTCTTTATCACCTGTTAAACAACTGTGTCCCAGTCCTAACTTTCCCATGACTTTTCCACAGTCTGTGGCTGACCTCTGTGAATGTATTCTCCAAACTCAGCGAAGGCTGTCGTGTTGAACTCCTTGGGGCTGAAAGACACTGTTGGAATCTGGACGGCACCTGTCAGATAGTCAGAGATGGGAGATTACAGATGATAACAGTCATTGGTCTTTCCACAGCCCTCTGTGCATAAAACAGCTTTTACATTCGTTATTTTATTTGGAGGGCAAAACAATTCTTTAAAGTAGGTGCTGAAGTTTTCCCTAATTTGAAGGTGAGGAAACAAGCTTAGAGAGGTTAGAGCTGCTCAAGATTGTCCCTAAATGAACAGTAGAACTGGGATTTAAATGCAGGCTTTTAGGGTTTGTTTAGGTTAATATGGTTCTTAAAGGAAAGTAAAATCCAAGATGGGATGGGGGATGGAGGAGGTGGAGGAGAGTAGATTTTAGACCTTGGCTCTGAGTGGGAAGCTGCTATAAATTGCTTCCTAAGGCCTCACTCTGCCTCTAAAACCACCATCCCTTTGATGAATCAGGAGCGCATAGTCCTGGGTCCCTCCATGAATGAGGCTCTGTGTGCAGAGAGCAGGCTTATTCCTCATGGACTGGCTTATCCAGAGTCACAGTGGTCTCTTAGCTAAGGCCAACTTTTTGAGCACAGGATACCTGGGAAGGGGTGGATTTAGAAGCTTCCAAACAAGCTCTTCAGTACTAAATAATCTCATCTGCTTTATCCAGATGTCTCAGTTCCTGAATTGCCAATAGTCTCATCCCTTTGAGCCATGAAGGCTTTGCACTCTCAAAAAGTTCCATTATTGCCCTGCTGGGAGTGGCTCAGCAGTTGAGCATTGCCCTGTGATCCAGAGGTCATGGTTCAATTCCCGGTCAGGGCACATGCCCAGGTGGCAGGCTCGATCCCCAGCAAGGGGTGTGCAGGAGTCAGCCAATTAATGACTCTCTTTCATCACTGATGTTTTTATCTCTCTCTGGAAAAAAAAAAAAAAAGGTCAACACCACAGGGGATACACAGGGAATTATGAGACAAACTTAATTCTGTACTCAGTTTTTACTAAGGATCAGCCTTACATCATTGCCCACTATGTAGATGGGGAAGCCAAGGTTCAAAAAGATGAAATAAACTGCCTACACGAGAGGCAGGGTCAAGATCTGAACTCAGGAGCTTTGTCCCCTGTTCAGTTCTAAGCCATATTGCTATAAGGTTCCTATTTTAGGTTCTTATCTAGCTTTTGCTTTCTTCTGTGCAAAGAGCCTCTGGTGAGCAGCTGCCCAATCCCTTTCTGAAGACTACTTATCCTATGCTTTGTAAAAACACTGCTGCCCAGCCGGGCATGGCTCAGCAGTTGAGCATCGACCTAGGATCCAGGAGACTGCAGTTTGAATCCCGGTCAGGGTACATGCTGGGGCTTCGGGCTGCATTCCCAGTGGGGGGCGTGCAGGAGGCCCCCCATCAATGACTCTCTCTTATCATTGATGTTTTCTATCTCTCTCTCCCTCTCCCTTCCTCTCTCTCTGAAATCAATAAAGATATATTTAACACACACACACACACACACACACACACACACACACACACACACTGCTTTGCCTCCCAGGCCTATATCATTCCAGCACTCTCACCCAGCACTCCCACCGTTTATATTCAACCACACGGGTTAGCTTTTGGCCCCCGCATCCACCTGCATATGTTTGCTCAGGCAGTTTCTTTTATTCCATTACTTAGTGAAAGGGGAAAGCCTGGAGCTAAGCCCGATGAAGAAGGACCTCATTATCACACAGGATCTAGCACGCAACAGAAGTTTTTGTTTTTTTCCTCCTGGAAAATGCAGATTCAGAAGGTAAAAGAGTTTAAGCCTTGGCTTGAGATCTAGGGGACAGATATGCTTTAATTATCAGAAGAAATTAGGAACATGCCACACTCCAGTAGTACCCCCCACACTCCTTCTTGGAGCCATCTGGTGTCCAGTGGGCCCTACAGGTGCTTGATGTTGTCACCCAGTGCCCACTCCTTGCTGTGGGGTCCTGGAGAAGATCATTGAACTGACTTAAGCCTCAATTTCCCACCTCCTTAGATGATAAGATTTAGGATCATTTCGTCTTAAAATAACGCTGAGATTTAAAATAAGTCAAAACTTTCAAAGGTTAAAAGTACAAATACCACGGCAAGCAGGGGCTAGGGTGGGTGACAGCCCAGCCAACAGAGGCAAAGCTGGAGCTTTCAGGCTGGGCAGGAAACAGCGGGGTCCCTCCCCAGAAGTCAGGCCCGGGGGACAGGCGGCGCCCCTAAGCCCGGGCACCTTGCGCGGGGACGGGGGCTGGGGCTGCGCTGCGGGGGCGCGGAGCTCGAGCTGGAGGAGTGCACTCTGCCACGGGAGCGGGGAGCGCCGGGCTGGGCCCAGGAGAGAGGGGCCCACATCTGGGCACAGGTGGGCGCAGGGGACCCGGCTCACCTTTCAGCGATTCCTTCATTGCGACGCGTTCCTCTTGGCTGAACTGAGCAGGAATTGGCGACGACCTCGGAGGCTCCTCGCCGCTCCGGCGCTTGGATCTGGAGAAGGTGGCGACGCCCAGCAGCAGCACAGCCGCCAGGGCCAGCACGCGGACGCGCGGCCGAGCCATTCTTCCTGCAGGTCCGCGCCGTTAGTCCCGGGCTGGAGTTTGCACGCAAACTCCCATCCCGAGGTCCTCGCCGAACCACCTTCCCGGTTGCCTCGTGGCCTTAGCTCCACCTCTCCTCAGATCTGGCCAATCATCGTTGGCATAGGGCTGTGGGCCAACCAATCGATGAGACTGCCCCGCCCCAGGCCCGCAAGGCCTTTTGGGGGTTGTGGTTTTCGGCCCTCTAGCGGGCCTAGGTAGAGTGGAGGTGAGGTGCGGGCCCCAGGCATGTGGTAGGTCGTGTCTGTGCTTGATTATCTGCTTTGGGATACTGATAAATCCCTTGCGATATGATACTAAATCAAAGGGGGGGGGGGTTAGGGAGAAAACAGAATAAAATGAGTGAAGCTTGTTGAAGATTCATCCACCGAGGAAGTAAGACCAATCAATCACTGAAGTAGTAATGAGTAAAAAATCTATTGTGCACATGCCGAAAAGACAGTTTGCAAACCAGGAGCATTTAAACCAAGACATGAAATGACGATCAGGGGTATATCGTTATAAAGCAGCTTATATAGTGAGAAAAGCAGTGCCTATTCTTCATAGTGATTGGTTACAATATTAGAATTTTCGGTGGTTACCTCATATCATGGCAAACAGTTCAGGTTTTGCTTATGATTTTCGGAAGCCTGAGCAAGAAAGGACCCACATCAAGTTAGTCTTGCAACATAAGTGAAATTAAGTTTGTATGACTAAACTGGTTTTATCTGCTCAGGGAAAATTAAGCCTGGTTTCTGTTTGGTTTTGATTTAACAATTCATGCCTGCTGGTCATTTTCTCAGCAGGCCCAGAGTGTGACCAACCAGTATAACATTACTCTTGGTCACCACTGCTGATGTTAGTTAGATTGAAAAATCACACATTTGCTGTTTCCATTATTGAGTTGTCAGGCCAGAGAGCCATGCAGTCACCATCTTCATCATTTATTTGGTTATTGTTGATTTCATTCAGTTGTTTGATCCTGATAGACACCATTTGGCTATAGAGAGACTAATAGCCAAAGACAGGAAAATTTCCCAGTGCAGAGATTCCCAGGAGTCACTATTTAACCAGCTAAATAAATCAAGTGGATTTCAATGTGTTAAAAGTTGTTTACATAGGCACAGCACACTGTATTAGCAAATATATATCCTCATGATAACTTGGGACTGGATGAACATAAGGATATTTTATTTCAGGAGGTGGTGTTGCAGGTGAGCTTCCATCCAAATTAGGCCTCTATATGTTGGGAGCAATCAGGTATCTAATGAAAAAAATTTCTGTGGGAACAAAAGTAAAACAAAGATTAATAGTTTGAACAAATTATAAATTCAGTTTCTGAGTTTGGAGAGCAGCCAGTTGAGATGAATTCTAGAAGTCAGGTTAGAAACATCTTCAGATGGAGTGAGGGAAAGCATTGGCAATCTGATAGATTTTCCTGGTTTGCAGTTTGAATGTCTGTGATGAGCTGAGTGACCCACATACCAATAGGCACAAATATTGTTCACATATCAGCTGTTGTATTCATCTCTAAAGCTGATATAAGTTGTCCAGTTTTAACTTGCATGGCTTTAGAAAAAGGGAAGTTTTAGTTTCATAGTGATTCCAGGTCAAAAGAGTGGGAGAAAATTGGATATGCTAGTTTGGAGAATTCTAGCTAAATGTTGGAGGAAACCAGAAGAATTCAGGATCTAGTTGAGTTTACAGGTAGAAAGCAAAACCTTGACAGGCCCTTTGTGTAGAAAAGTAGTTTTTATTTACAGCTTTTTAAGGGGATTTGCTGCAGATATTTATAAAAAGTAACTCCATCGGTATCATTGACCCTATATTTGTACATAAAAAGATGTGTCAGACTGTGATAGGCAGTTAGACAGACATGAGCAGAGCAAGGACGATGGGCCAGGTACAGAAGATCATCAGGGTGGAAAGCCCTGGATGCCTAGCAAAGGACAATTGTAGGGTGGGACCTCAACCCCAGGGTGGCCTTTCCTTGCCTAGCATATCATTCGTTCATGTGGTTTGGACCCCCTGACATCTCCTCCCTAGAGATAATATCTAGGCCTCAGTTGTGTTTCAGCCCCAGGCCCAGAAAAGCAACAAAACCAGCCATACTGACCTCAGGATCAGCTGCATTGAATGATGGCCCCCACCCTGGTGCCATCCAATCAATCAGTGGAGACCACAACCCTGAAAGGACACACCTAGAAAACTGCTGAATATTCTGTTAAGATCTCCTCCTGGGACCTCCCCTGTCTCCAGTTTTAAAACCGTCAGGTTGGAGGACTCAGTGCGCTCTCCCTCCTGAGAGCATGCCAGCACCGTTCCCTTCCCCTTCCCTGACCACCCCACCCACCCCTGTAGGCACATTAGCATTAGCTTCCTTGGGCCCTTTCTCTGACTTTATAACTTGTTTCCTAATCCCATTTTTTCTAGGAATTGCTGCTTCTACCTCTGTGATTTACCAAATAAATGTTCTCTTGTAGTTCGTGTCTTGGCTCTGAATTCTTTCCTAGCCAGAACTCCAAGTCCCAAGGTTGCTGAGCCCAGGTTTGGTCTGAGCCCACTGCTCAGGCATCTGGTGACTTTTCCACCACCTACAACATAATGGTGCCCTGACTCAGACTGTGACTCAGATTGTTTCATCACTGGTAAGCCAGTCGTCCTCGCCACCTTGGCTTGAAGGACATGACTGTGTTCTCTTTCTTCCCAGCATCTTTTCCTCTGGCCACGGGTTTCTCTCTCTCTCTCTGCGGATTCCTGCACTGTGCGGGCACAGGTCGAGCATTTAAAAGCGATTAGAGTGTTTGCTGCTAGAAGACTCCTGTGACAAGATGAGTCGGTCCCGGACCTGGCAAGTTGGCACTGGGCACCCCAAGGATTGCAAGACAACGTCCATGCACCCAGAAACACTGTAAAATCACATAAGACCCTTCCCCAGGCTTTCCCCTGTCAGGTTACTAGTTCCAATGGGGAGAGAGATCCTTGCCCTTTGGCTGGAAGGGTGCTCTTTTCTCCCTTTCTTTTCCTTCCTTTGTGTCTGGAGTTAAGTTTAGGCTGACTTCTTCGAGCTTTTGAAATCCTCGAGGTGGAGCTAAGAGTTAAGGTTTGGGAGACCCTAGACTATAGATAAGGGCCAAGGTAACTAAGGACAGAAACAATGGATGGCTGCTTTTTAACTTTAACTTTTCTTTTTTAAAAATTTATCTTTATTATTGAAAATATTACAGGTGTTCCATTTTTCCACCCCAATTGACCTCCTCCACCTCACTCCCACCCCCTCCCCAGACCTTTACCCCGTTATTGACTGTGTCCATGGGTGGATGCATATATGCATATAACTTTTTTGGTTAATCTCTTCCCACCCTCCACCCCCCTTCCCTCTTTCCTCTGAAATATGATTGTCTGTTGCATGCATCAATGTCCCTGGATCTATTTAGTTCATCAGATTCTTTTGTTCATTAGCTTCCTCTTAAAGAAGACCCTCCAACATTTTGTGTAGTGCTGGGCTGGTGGTGATGAACTCCTTTAGCTTTTTTTTTTTTTAAATCTGTGAAGCTCTTTATCTGACCTTCAATTCTAAATGATAGCTTTGCTGGGTAGAGCAATGTTGGTTGTAGTTCCATGTTTTTCATCACTTTGAATATTTCTTGCCACTCCCTTCTGGCCTGCAAAATTTCTCTTGAGAAATCAGCTGACAGTCGTATGGGGGCTCCCTTGTAGGTAACTAACTGCTTTTCTCTTGCTGCTTTTAAGATTCTCTCTTTGTCTTTAATCTTTGGCATTTTAATTATGATGTGTCTTGGTGTGGGCCTCTTTGGGTTCCTCTTGTTTGGGACCCTCTGTGCTTCCTGGACTTGTAAGTC